AGATAGATAGATAGATAGATAGATAGATAGATAGATAGATAGATAGATAGATAGAGAGAGAGATAGATAGATAGATAGATAGATAGGGAGAGAGAGGGGGGAGAGGGGTATGTTTAAAGTTTAAGCAAACTATCTACGGAAAAAGAAAGCAGTGTAATCTTGATCGAACACTCCAGGAGATCTTTCGTCTATGGCTTTACCAAAATGGGAAAAATAATATACCTACTTTCCACAGATTTTTTTTTCAATAAGTAGATAGACTAACAGACGGCAAAAAGAAATCCGAAATTTAGAAAACTGGAGTTTCCATAATGAGAATACAAATGGGTCACCTACTATTTTCGCTTCCAGTCCAAAGAACAAATCTCTGTTTAAACATACCAATCCCTCCCAATACCAGTGATCAAGTTTGCCATAAGATCAATACTGCCTGAAATTTTAACGTTTATTTTTCGCCGTGGCTGCTCTCGCGTCACAAAAATCTATAGGTGGGGCATCGTTGGGAAATCGGGCGATCGTCAAAATGAAATCGAAGAAATTGTCATTTTTTCTATCCATTTTGGTAATTTTTATTGAATTTCTGTGTTTTGACTCAATACCTTAAGGGTCCATTTAAAAACACACTTATGTGTACGTGGATTTCACTGAAAAATTTTGATTTAAGGTTCAAAAATGTAAATTTGCAGTTTCTAATAGGACTCTCAAGCTTTGGGAGTCGCCAAACTTTGGCGGCCATTTTCTCGCTAATTTTGCCTCTGAAACCAGGCGACCCCCACCTCCTTCAATCGCAAATATCTCGACTTCTATTCATGATAGATGGATATTTTTTCACCGAAGGCAAAACAAAAGAACAAACTTAAAAATGATACGAACAACTCAATATGTCAAAAAATTGACGAGCGCCTGATTCCACCGCGTCGTGACAGTTAAATTCCCTGGCTATGAGAGATTCCCAACGAGTCGGTAATCGCTCCAGTGCCACACCGAGCCTCCCATTTAAGGTTGTCATAACTATTTTTTGATTCTTTCTAAATGGTGAATTTTTGTTTCCGGGACTTTGCGTTGAGCTCTTTGTTTAACTGTAATTTACTGCCAATTTTCTGATTTTTTGAAGCACTTATGAACTAAGTTATTGCTTTCTTTTCTAGAGTATGACTGTACATGCTTGTGCAATTTACGAGCGTAGTCATCCAAATCAATGGGTTTTCTAATTTTTGACTATCGTGTTGCCGTGTACACCTTTATTTGATTTTTGCTTTAAATACGTTAACGAAAATACTCTGTGTGTGTGTGTGTGTGTGTGTGTGTGTGTGTGTGTGTGTGTGTGTGTGT